CACTCAACACAACGCAGCTGGTCAAGAAGGCTCAACAGCGGCTGTACTTCCTGAGGAGGCTGAGGAAGTTTGGGATGTCTCCTAAGATCCTCAGCAACTTCTACAGCTGCATCGTGGAGAGCATATTGACCAGCTGCATCACCGCGTGGTACGGCAGCACATCCACCGTGGACCGCAAACGCCTGCAGAGAGAGGTGAGGACAGCGGAAAAGATCACCAAGACCCCACTGCCCTCTCTGCAGAGCATCTACCACCGCAGGGTTCACAGGAGAGCTGCCTCCGTTCTCAAAGACCCCACCCGCCCCCAACATGGACTGTTCACGCTTCTACCCTCAGGCCGGAGGTACAGAAGTGCCAAATGCAGGACCACCAGACTGAAAAACTCTTTATTCCCCACTGCCATGAGCCATCAACAGCTGAGAGGACTCTATAACCTAATCCACAACTGGTCTGCACTTTAGCTTGTTAGGATTAATTTACTGTTACTGTACTGTTAATTTACATTGCACACATTTCATTTAATTTAAGTTTTTTCTTTTACAACCTGCTCAGTTTTGCACTTTTCCTCGTCACCTCATTTCTGCCTTATCCTCACCTCATTTTTATTTTTTATTTCATGTATATTTATGTAAATATTGTATTCTTATTCTTATTTTAATTTTTAAAATTGGTCGGCTTTTCGGAAAGGCAAGCACAAGAATTTCAATACACAGGGTGTAAACGATGTGTAAATGACAAAATCTTTGAATCTGGAATCTGGAATCTTTGAATCTAATAACATTGGCTTCAGGACTGGCGTCAGCTAAAATAAGGGATGTAAATGTGTATTGTATGAATACATATTTTCGGAGAAAACATTCTATTTTGTCATCTGTTTGTTATAAACAGAAAGTTGTCCTATTGATTCCAATGTTTTAGCCTCTTATATGTTTTTTTCCAAAATGATCCACGTTGGACATGTTGCACTGGAGAAATGCAGTCACACGTTTTCCTTGTATGGAACTTTGAACCGAATCAATCTGAAAGTACACATAACCTTTACAACGATACAACGATCAGTTTATCTGCACCCATGCATACTGTCACAGCGTTAAATACTGAACTGTATTGCCCCCGATTCCTCGGCTGCAGCCTTTGGGCGATTCCGTGAGCTCACTTAGTTTTCTGGAGCCACAGGATGCTGGAAATCAATTATTGGATCGTGTGGTTTTTAAGGGCCCTCTGTGCATCATTGGGGGGGGGTTGTGCCTTTTCCACGTGGCCCCAAGTTTGTATTTAAGAAGTGGCCAGTTGCCTCTAACACAGCTCGGTGCAATCATCCGAGGTTGCATGCAGCAGCATTCATTACCCTCACCTGACGGTGTTATACGAGGCAGTAAATAGTGCCTCGTAGTGCGGTTGTTTATTCGCAGTGGAAAGCTAGCATCGATGCTGACATCCTTGCAGATGGTAGTCCTGCACGTTTTAATGAACGTACTTTGAGTAGGCCGTTCCACAAATGTCACATGCTTTACTTTGATTATGTTTACCATCGTTAAGCCATTTGTGTGAAAATCAACCGGTCTTATCTTGAGCCGGGAGGCGGTGACTCAAAGCGTGGTTCGCTGCAGTGCCTCAGATTTATATTGTGCAAGCTGGAGGTCTCACCGCAGATTAAAGTGTGCCTCATGGACACATTAGAGATTCCATTAGTGACTTCTGTCCCAGTAGGGCCAGTAAATCGTGGATCCATAGTCAATAGTGTGCGCTGCTGAGGACGCTGTCGGACTGTGCGTCACTCACTTTATGATTTATTTTGATGCATGATCAGTTAAGAACTAACTTTGGCACTTTAGTTTGTGCAACATGTACTTTTTCCTTCTGCTATAAAACAACAGAACCTGGTGCACGCCTGTTCACAGGGGTGTGAGGCGCGGAGCATTATAATATCTGATGCTTTATTAGTTAATCTCTCTTGGTTTCTGTTATCAGTCATCCAGAGGTTTAGTTTTCTTCAGTTATTAGTTTCCCTGTGTGTGTTTCTCGCCTCACTGATTGTCCCTCAATTACTCACCTGCCTCTTATTTGGCCATTAGTGCACCTGGTTTCTGCCCCCTGTGGTGCGCTGCCAGGTCGTCTTTGCTCGACCCCGGTGCTCGCTGCGTTCCTGCGCCTCCCCAGTGCAGGCGCCCCGTTATTGGACTGTTTTCAGTGTTTTTGGGGGGGCTTCCGTTTGTTCTGCTTTGGAAAGATATGAACTTTCTAAACAAGTCGGAATTACTGTCACCTGGAAACTCCTTACAAACTCGGTGTGTGTGGTCAAACATTAGAATAAAGATCCATGTTTCCTGGAAACTGGTATTTAGAGAACGTACAATATATTATTCACGTGACGTAACAGCACGATTCATTTACACTAAGCAGCAGCAGCATCGTCGCGCACGAAGGTTTGATGCTGAAACTTGGGGAAATAAAGCAGGCAGACATTCTATCCGCCTCGACTTTTTAGGGCCTCTGCTCTCCAAGCTTCGCTGGTTGCACAATAAGGACGAGGCCATAAAACACTCGGCCCAGCAGATGCTCGGCGAAGACGACACAGTCCATTATGCAGCCCGTTAAAAGCGCTCCTGCACTCCTCGCTGGGTTAGAAAGACTTCCTCCGAGCAAAGATCTGCCACGACGCACGAACGAAACGCCTGTTTCCATCAACGCAGATGTTCTTTGTTCCCTGACAGATGTGCCCATCTTGATGTGTCGCTCCCTATTCTCTTCCTTTCTGAATAGTCTCGCTTTACGAGGCCTCTGATGTCTGATTTTCTAAAAGAACGGGGGGGGCGGCGAAGGATTTACAAGGGCGCAGGAGCAGGCCGCGGAGCAGGGCCGAAGCATACGGCCTTGAGATTTATGCTTGCTGGGGGGGGGAGCGGGGTCACGGGGGCTTTTGAAACTGGCAGTCATTTTTCCGTTGTGCTCACAGGTGATTTTCATGTCGGCATCGTCGGAAGTTGTTTGAATTTGAGGCAGGCGAGAGCATCGTTCGGCGCTTAATCGGACAACATCTGCGTTAATGGCCGCCGGTCTCGGGCGCAGCAGATGGGCACTGAGGGAGCGACTTTGTAGTAAACAGGAGCTTTGGAAGCAATCATTTCCCTCCTATCAACTGCACAGTTAATGAAATAATGAACAGGGAGATATCAAGGCCCAAAATATGAGCCTTTGTATGTCGTAGATCCACTGTGACCACAGAAGCCGCTGAATGTGACACTAAACCTTTCTTTTGTCACCAAAAGTCTATTTTTCCATTCAAAGCTTTTTCTCTCTGAGGAAATATACAGGAATGAGGTATCGAGACAGAATGTGCTGACTCTGTAAATGTGGGCAACCACAGATTGAAGCCGGGTTCAAAATAGGCCGACAGTATTATTACTCAGGGGACGAGGGGGTTTTCTGTGTAATACAATCCTCCTCTGATCATTCCAGCTCAAAATGCAGCAAACGCATCTCCATACTTGAAAAAAAGTCTGAATATGGTGTCAGCAAGAACTTTAAAGTCCGTCCACAAGTTTAGTATCTCAACAGTTATTGTTTGGGTCGCTATGAATACCGACATTCGCGGCCCCCAGAGGATGAACCCTATTGACTGTTGATCCCTTGACCTTTCATTTAACGACCTTTATTCTTGTGAAATGTCCCAATGACCATCACAATGCGGAGGCCGGACATTCGTGCTGCACGTGGAATTCAAAATCGTCGATTCGTGAAGCATTTTGTTTGTGACATTTGTTGAGGTCATAACGGAGGAAGAGTTAAGTTTGGGGTTTTGGTCGCCGTTCACTATGATTCATCTCTAAAGCTGCATCTCACACCTCACGCGACCGTTGAGCAGAAGCTATTTTCTGATCACAGTCATTTTCCTGCCGCTGTATCATTTCTGTGGTAATGACACGTGTGCACACGGCGGTAAATGAGCCCCATGTTGTATTAGTATTAGTAATATCAGTCCCATTTTACTATAGACATTCTCATAAAGCAAGAATTTGTTTGTTCTATCCGTCTCATCCTTCACTCTACGGATCTCCTGTGTTCATTCATATATTTCCCTATTTTCTACATTCTAGAAACGTCTTTTTCTCTTTGCAGAGCTTGAACAGCCTTCCCCATCCAACATGCCGCCTCTTTACGATGCAACAATTATGAAACCGCCCCGCAAGCAGGAGGGCTCATTGGACAGTTTGGCAAATTCACACTCTATATTTCCCCCCACTGGCTCCATCGCCTCGTTTGGGGTCGTAAAGGTTGCAATGGCGAGGGCCCGAAGGACTCACAGAGGTGCCATTTCGAGCTGAGAACGGGCACCTGCGACGTGTAACGTGGACGTTACTGCAGGATGGAGCTTTCTCTCTGGTCTCACAAGGCACATCCTCCACATCTCTGCAGACATCCAACGCCACAGGCTGCATCCGTGTGTCTCACTGTCTCCCTTCACTCGCAGTGAGCACGCTACTTCCTGCAGCTCGCCATGAATTGCTTTTACCAGAACCATTTGCAGCAGTTAATTGCAGCTGAGTCATCATGACTTGACTCGACCACGGCCACTGGTGAAGCCCTTTTGGCGGCTTCTTGCAAGGCAGAGAAAATCCGCTCCCGGGTTTATTCACACAGACAGAAGAGGGATAAAATGCTGAAGTGGGTCTTTCATTCTGCTGTGTGGCTGAAATCCTGGTGTTTTGTGGGGACGGGAGTTATGTGAGGTTGGAATGGCACATTTTAATGCCCCGTGGCATTTTTTTTCTCTGTGGTTATTATTTCCAAGCAACTCATTTTCAGATTAAGTGTCCTGGTTTAAGGGGAGGCTTTTGCAAATGGCATCCCATCCAGGGCTAATCAAAGCTTTCCATCAGGGGAAACAGCTAAAGGAGCCATTTCTCCTTCAAATAAGGAGATGGAGAGTTTTCGGTCTTTGCAGCCCGTTGCATTCTTTGCGTAATAATACCCTGTTGTCAAGGAGGGAGGAAGGAAGGAGGGTGGAAGGAGAGGGGAGGAAACCGCGCTGAAAGAAAAGCTCCTCCGGACAGTGCGAAGGGACATTCTCCGGATCCAGGAGAACCACTGAGGGCCCCTCTCGAGGAGGAGCGAGCAGCGCGTCACACTTTGGGAAGATCTTTGGACTTGTTGTTCCCAGCCGCGTCGACGCCTTTGCAGCAGAGATGACACCAAAGTGAACGGCCGTCGGATCGATCGCCGAACCCCCCCATCGGGCAGGGGGCGGGATCCACGGGGGGGGTAAAAGTCTGCCTGGTCTGTTTTTTTGTGTTTTTTTACCTCGTCGTGCCACGTTTTTGATCACACGGTGCCGACGCGCTGAGCGGATCCTGCGCGCCTCTCCGTGCGCACTCGCAGCTGCGCCCCCCGACCGAAAAGTTACTCAAGTTGTCTTCCCCTGTCCACCAGATACACACACTTATCTAATAATATATTTGTAATAACTGACTGCCTCAGTCTCGCCCCCCCACAAGCCCCCTTCGCCCCAGCATGCGGGACTGACCGAGGAATGGCATCGGCCGTGTTCGAAGGCACGTCGCTGGTCAACATGTTTGTCCGGGACTGCTGGGTCAACGGGATCCGGAGGCTCATCATCAGCCAGCGGGGCGAGGAAGAGGAGTTCTTCGAGATCAGGACGGAGTGGTCGGACAGGAACATCTTATACTTGCATCGGAGTTACGCCGATCTGGGGCGGCTGTTCAGGAGACTGCTGGAGTCCTTCCCCGAGGACCGAGGAGAGCTGTCCAAGTCTCCGCTGATAGAAGGTGGGTCCGCGGGGACTGTGTCGGTGCAATGGCAGGGAGGTGGTGCCAGGTGTGATACAGTGGCACAGTGTCACAGATATTGTTAGTGGCAATATGCATTTTTAAGGGTTAAATTGGGATCAGGGGCGTAGCTGCAGTTTTTGGGGGCCAAATAGGCTGGATGTGAATGGGGGGGGCCCCCCCTCTCTTCTTCTGCACTACTGGGTTTGATCGGGACGCGATTGAGAAGCAGGAACTAACAAATATTTAGCATTTTTGCTTAATACAAGACACCCCAGTCAAAGAAAAACATTCAAAAAGTGCCTCAAAACAGATAACAGTATAAAAAAGCTGCATTTGGGATAACTCATCATTTGCATATTTAAACATCACATCTCCAAAATCTTTTGTACTTTTTAATTATTTTCTAAAGCGATTTAAAACCACTATGTAATTTCCTTCCCAGCACCTCAGCAGCATCCTGTGGCTGGCTGTTAATTTATGCATTTCAGGGGAGCAAAATAAAAGCAGGAAAACCCAGTTAAGATAATCAATAACAGTTGAAAGCTGAAATGAACTAAACCGCTGTGTGGCCCCGATGTGTTTGCCCCGGTTTTGGACAGGTTCATGTTAGACGTAGTTTCTCGCGTCACATTAGCAGCCCTATCACATGACCTGCAGACCACAAAGTCGAACGCTGGTTGGTATTTAGGAGCTTAACGTCTTTCACGTCTGCTCTGCTCCCTCGTCTCTGTGGCTGAAGGTTAGACTCCTCATGGGAGAGCACCCGCGACCTTCAGGGTTTGGACCTTTGACCCTGCCAACAGGTTTGGCAAAGCTCCCGACTTGTTCCTGTTCCTTGGCACTTCCCTTTTGTCTCCACCCGCTGAGCCTGTACAAATGTTTCCCTTCGGTGCGGACTGGAAAGCCTCACGGCCGTGCACTGAAATAGCCGACGGGCTTGCTGACAGCTCCCCTGCTCTGCTGCCGCAGTGCATTCTGGGAAGAGATATTTCAGATCTCATGACTCACTTTTCACTTAAAATCTGTAACAGATGAACGGATCAGCGATATGGGCCACAGGGTTAATAACAATCATCTTTCTTTAACTCCCACCTCTGTTCAATGTTTCCTTTGCATCCCCTATGATTGAAAGTCCTCCCAAACTGTGTCTCTGGCCTTTCCGTCTCCACTTTGCTCCACTTTCTGGCTCAGCTGGTGTTTTTTTTTTTTCTATTCCGTGCCGCGTCCAAGCAACAAGGAAGGCGTGCAGAGCCCTCGCACTGGTGTTATGATGAGAGAGAGAGAGAGAGAGAGGGGAGTGGACTTCCCGTTTTTAGTCGCCGTGGTCTGCGAAGGCCCCCTTCTTCACCCACTCGCCTCACACGTGACCCCGAGTGAACGCAGACAGGAAGTGATGGCTGACATTCCATGAGAGACGGATTCCACCGAGGAGAATGACTCCCTCCCACACGCATTCACTTCCACCTAGTTGAGAAATACTCACGGGTGTATTCTTGGACGCTGATGAATCATCACCTCAGTTGGTCATTATAAAGCTAATGGACACAGCAAGTGAGGAGCGTCACTGGACATTACTCCTCCCTCATGACGGATGTATGAGAATACATTACATCGCATTTATACAATTTACAACCTGAAGAGTGTCACATGTTACTTCATGGCCATTGATAATTCTCACCTCTGATTGACTGACAGGTGTAATCTGGGTGTAAAAATGTCCTTATTTTACAATGTAGGAAATTAGTCTACCTGGCTTTTCTGTTACAAAAAGTTTTTTACACAATTTTGCGGTTAACTGGCTGCTGGCTTTCCCTTTAACTGACTGATATCACCTCTTAACTTAAATTGCGATTGGTTGTTAATAATACTTTTGGGATGTGGTCATGGTGAAATTGCATCTAATATAGAATTATATGGAAATCTGGAAACCTTTTGAAAAACCGTTACCGTCGAAAATATAATTAATTTGGTAGTGATTTGGACACGCCGGCACATAAAACACTGGTTCTTATACACTCTTATAGAAGAAATGTGTGTCTGAGGTCTGATGTCCTCCGCTTTGTTGACCGAGGGGTCCAGAAATAACACGACGGTCAAAGTGAGCAGAGTTAGCGGTAAGGTGACCAAGCAGGCGGCCGACATGTGCTTATCAGATCCACGCAGACATCTGATGCTTACGACACGTGGCGAATGTGTTTGAGGGTCGTACACAGGCGGGTTCCTGTTGTGCGTCTACTTCTGCTCTCTTATTTCAGTCAAAGTCCAGAGAGGCGATGAGAAGAAAATAGCCATTTTAAAGAAGACCCCCACAAGCCAGGAAGCCCCGACAGGAAATAGACCTTTTCAGAGGAAATTGTAGGAATTACACAAGGGACTGTTGGAAGGCATTATCCAGTGGGAACGGCGGGTTTTTGTTGCATTTCGTCCGAATCAGCACTGCTCAGAGTTTTGTGCCTTTTCAAACACTTTGTTTGCTTTTTAGGGAGGCTTGCATCTTTAAATTTACAGACACACACATCGGAGCCACTGCGGTTTGCAGTATTAAATCTTACGCAACCATCGGCGAGATGTTGCAAACATGACCACGCGTACTTCTCTTTTGCACAACGAGCAGGCCTTTTATATCACACACCGTCTGATAGTTGTGTTCGCGTTTCAAATGCATATGCATATTATCGCTACCGCCGTCCTCCCGCCGATAAATTCTTTCCTCACACACGCTTTGATAATAATACATGACAGCGCAGTCATCCTGATCCCACCCTGTTTCCATGTGCACCCAGTGTGTGTCTGCACCTAATAATAATAATGTGCAGTGGATCCATAACATCAGAGTCCTGCATGGCAGGACACAAACGTAACTTTGATGACATAGAAAGCCAACAAGACTGGGTGTAGTTTCTGCGGTGAAGTTATCATCTCTTTCTTTGTTTCCGCTTAAGATATTGGCTGCTGTTAATTCTCTGAAGCGACCGTGAAAAACACCCATTCCGCAAAATGGTGTGAAGTATATCAACAGATGTTATGGTTTTCCAACATTGTGAAAACTAGTTGTTCAGTTTTCACCTCCTTTAAGGTCCTCCCACCATGAGGAATTTATCCCCATATTCATCCATATTTGGCATTAACTCAAGCGTCAGAATAAAGCACTTAAGTGCATAAGCCTGTAAACTTGGTTCCATTTACAGGGAAAACTGTAAAACAGAGGGCGGTGTGAGGTTCAGACTGGGTGGGGGTTTCATCAGCTGCTGCCCCACGTCCCCCTGGGTGTGATGTCATCACTGCTGCCCATTAGAAATGGATGAGTCTGTGACTCTCTTACTCAGTGCTTCCGTGTAACAGTAACCGCTGCGTCTGCACCGCTCACGTCAGACGGAGACTCATCGGGCGTCTCCGTCATTATCCTCGACCACCACATCCCTTTGTCAGCGCGGCGGTGGACGAGGCCCCGCTGCCCGCTCGCTCTCAGGGGCGGCGGCGGCGGCCTTGTGCTGGTTTTTACACTCCCGCTGCTTCTTGAGTTGAGATCACCATGTGTAACTCTCTGTTTGACAATGATAAGTTGCCTATGCACCACCCTCCCCCTTCTCCTCCTGCTAATTTTGGATAATGTCAGGGATCATTGTTCATAAAAAGGTTGCTGTAATAGACAGTTGCTCTCTTTTCCTTTGCATTCGTGGCAACCTTTTGCAAGACTGCCGGGAAACAATCCGAACCGTCTGGCTTTTTGTTCGGAGGCAATGAAGGTCTAACAACCCGTCTTTTAATCGCTCAGGCACAGAACCAGTAACGCTGGTTGATATTTTCATGTTATTCATTAGGCCTTAGCTGTCTATGCTGTTTTGTTGTATTTTCATCGGCCTGGCGGTTGAAAATACATCAGACATTAAAAAACATCGGCAACATCGAAGGTTTATGGGCTTCAAAAGCCAATTTAGACTGTTTTGTTTGAATTACAATCTTTTTTAACTGTTTTTTAAAATCTTTTATTTAAATTGTGACACCTTGTTCCCCTTTGTTTGTTTCAGTGCTGGTAAAAATCAAAGAGGCCAGCGACATTGAGGAGAAATTGAACGAGGTGGAAGGACTGCTGAAGAACGCCATCACCATGCCGTGCAAGGTCCGTCTCTGTCTTTGTCTTTACGTTATTAGTTTATTACACAGTAGAATATTTCGTGAAACTAGCTCGCTAACGAACTCGACTCCACAGTATTCCAGGTCGGAGGTCATGTTGACCTTCTTTGAGCGGTCGCCTCTGGACCAGGTGCTGCGGAACGACAAAGTCCACCGAATCCAGCCGTGCTTCCAGAGTCCCATCAACATATCAGGTACATCGATTTCTTCACGTAACGCGCAAAGACGGAGCCGCCGCTGGTCGTCATGGTGACTCAACCGCCACCCTGCGCCTCTTTTCAGAAATCATGCGGTCGAACGGATTCTGTCTGGCCAACACTGAAACCATCGTGTTCGACCACAGTCCCCCCGAAGAAAAAGAGAGACCCTCGTCCACCGACTCTGTGGAGCATACGTGAGTGTTGCCGTGTCGGTGCAGCTGCAAACCGCTGGTATTCCCACAAACATCAGGGTTGCCATGTTTGCGTTTGAGCGCTCAGTGAGCGTTTTGGCGAACGGGGACCCTCCACCGCCCTACAGGAAGTGTGTCCGTGGACCTCTTCCTTCCCCCGGGCGTGTGACGGGAACAAAAGATGAACACATTCCTTCACATGAAACAAAACTTTACACCACCCGTGAATGAACTAATACAAGCGGAGGACGTCTCTGTGGGCTGACGTAGACTGTGACATCCACAAGTAATGCGTCTCTCTCTGTTTTTTCTTCTTTTTTCCCGCCAGGTACGACGATGGAACGGAGTTTTCGCCGCTGGAAGAAGACCTGCGTGAAGAGGAGACGGAAGCGTACGTCACCAACCTCTCCTACTACCACCTGGTCCCCTTCGAAACCGACATCCTGGAGTGAACGAGAGCGAGCGACGCCTGTCGAAGGAACGCCCGATGCCGCCCCGCGGAGGAATACGTGCTTTTGAATGGAAGCTGGCTTTGCGGCGCTGCGCATGGCTGCTGCGGATAAAACGGCGCTCACCCTGGTCGGATGTTGGGAGGCTGCAGCGCGTCACCGGTGAGCCTCGTAAGAGGGTGTCAGGAACAAGCACGTGGCGGCTGCAGAGGACTTTTAACGTATTTCGCCCGCGCAGCAACAAGGAAGCTCCTTCAGTCCCGACGCAGATGCAAAGAAGGATTCGTCGAAGAGGAGAGGACCTTCAAGCTGCGCTCGCTCTGGTTCCGGGCCTGTGACTGTACTGAAAAATGCAGCTGAACCAACCAGCGGAAATCAAGCGAGAATATTAGGATTTTAATAGACTAAACACACAGTACACAGTAAATCAAATTAGAGAAAATAAACACGAAGACAGTATTTTGTTACAACTCAATGCTGCCTTTTTTTAGATGCCTCAGATAGTTTTTTAATTTGGCTTAGTCTGAATTTGTTTCATGTTTATAAATCATTTGATGTGCCAGAGCGGAGACAGATCAGCCGGATCGTCTCTTCGCTGTCGTCGCCCCGCGAGGACGGCTGAGTTGCGGCAAAGAAAGCTTTGTTTTGCGGGTCAACTGAGGTCATATGTGACCCGTTGTGTAAGAGGACGGGTGTGGGTTCAGCCGACTGTGGTCCTGCTGAACGTGGGAGTCTGCAGCTCGGGAACAAGACCGCTCTTTTATCTCATGAGAAGACTAACGATCTCGCTGTACTAAAAAGAAAGTCTAGGGGAACTAATCAAACCTGGGTCGCTTTCACTTCTCCCAGTGCCTTGTTTAAAACCGTTGAACTCTGAAAAGCTGAACAAAATCTTCGTTTGTGTCACTGTTTGAACAGTTTCGTCGGTGCACAAGCCACCGTGGCCTTACGATGCAGAACGTTGCAATGTGGGCAAGCAGCTTGCGTCCGCTTTTCCTGCCCCCCTCCCAAACGAAGAGCAGCCCACGCGGGGCTGAGACGGGACGATCCCCCGCGCGAGACTATTTAGTAACACAGTCATGATCGCCATTCAAGCGCAGCTCCTTCTCACGGTGCGAAACCGTTTCTCTCTTCTTTTGTCGTTTTTCTCTTTGTCGAAGGATGTTTTTTGGGACGGAAACGTCGCCGTGGAAAAAGTCCCTGCATACGTAACGGGGTGGATCGATATGATTCAATAGAAGGGAACTGGAATTTTTAATTTAAATTTGCATACCAAGGTCAAATTGTCTCTCTTTCAGAGAATTCGTGTTTACTAAATGCTGTGTGAGACCTCTGTCTATCTTGGGACCGTCTGCAGGCTGAAGTAACATATTATAAATATTCTGCAGTCTTTGACTAAAGGGACACGCAGCTGACTTACGGAACATATCAGTAAGTCCATCATGCCAGCAGTGGTTAGAGGATTCAGAAGAGCACAGTGGGACGGTTATATGAAAATAATATTACACAAAATACTTTATTTATTCTCTAAACGTCTGCCACCATTTTATGATGTGAGATTCTTTTGGTGTGTACATATATTCAAAAGGCTTGAATGAAAATAATATGAATTATAACCTTTTGAAAATGTAGTTAATGTGGTAACATCATTTTAAAGATAAGTCTTAGATGCACACATTCTCAAAACAAAACAAAATGTGTTTTTGTAATGTTTCAAAATAAATATTCATGTGTTATTTTGTGTGGAAATTGTGATGGATATACGTTCACCAGCAGTTAGTACATTTGCTCAAGTACAATTTCCAAAGTGCCAGCACCTTATTTGAGCCCTTTCCATGTTATGTTTTACTTTTCTTCTCAATGGAAGGTTATGTACATCTAATTCCACCACATTTATCTGACATGTTAGATACAAGTAATTGTACATCGCTGTTGACAACACCGTTCAATTGCTACAAATGTGCGTCACTGATCAAATAAAGGGTTTACCAACAGAAAAAATCAGTACAACAGGACAAAAGAACAGTACATCTTGACATAATAATGTTGAGCAGACTACTTTTCGTACGTAGCATATTTCTTTGCTGATATTACTACAGTATCATTTTAAAGGAAAGAGCGTAGCATTTACCTGTAGTATGTAAAGAATAAAAGCAGGGGAAATAAGGCCGGTTGGCCATATTAATGATCTCAGCGCGCCACCTAGTGGTCAGTATTGGCATTCTTTGACATAACAAATACATCTGAAAAAGCAGAACAGAAATGTAACTAACATTCTATGGTGCTATTCTTTTCCCTTCCGCGGTAAAACACAACGATGTTTTTTTAAAGAATATTTATATACATACGTTGAAACATGTTTGCTTTACTTAAAAAGAAATGTGTCACGTGCCGCTGTAAAACCAGAAGCAGAAGCTGCGCGCGCAGCTCGCAGCCGCCGGGAGGCTGAGTAATCCCGCGCATGCGCACACCGGCAATTCTTTAGCAGCTGTATTTCCTGCTCGCTGTTTCCTCTCGCAGCGATGGCAGAAGTGAAAGCTTCCCTGACTTGTGGCGGTACGTTCCTTTTTTTTTATTGAATTCAACCCACGTTTATTCCCACACTGAACACGTTGTTAGCGGCAGCTTTTAATGTGACCCGCAGAGCTCCGGTTGTCGAAACCGTGAAGGTAAATGGTTGCCCAGTTAGCCCGGACGAGCGTTAGCTGGAGATGCTCCAGTCGCGAGCGTTCAAACTGCAGGGCTGGAAAAATGGGGGATAAAAAAAACAACAAAAAAAAGACCTGAAACGCTCAGGTTCACGTTCGGGTAACACGCACGTTTCTTCTGCTTTGACGTTGCAGTCCTGGCGGCTCTCCTGGCGTCGGCGGCGCTCGCGTTTGTGGAGGATTTAGACGACACGTAAGTGACGCGGCTGCTGCTACAATGTGTCCGCTTCCTGCCGCTGCGGCTTTGACCCGTGCGCGTGTAAATGCGAATTACCTCCATGTGGGTGAAGAAAACAGAACCCCGAATCGGTCTCATGCAGTTTATCGACATCTAAAGGGTTCATCACGTTGGCAACGGCCTCCATTATTACAATTAAACATGAGGGTTGTTTTCAAAGCAGAATTGAGAGTTACTCCAGATTTCCTCGCTTCACGCTTCTAGTTACAAAGTGCTTATTAATTGGCTGCCTGTTGTGCAAAGTCTGTAGAGATTCTGTCTCTTGTGCATTCGTGTTTGTGATCCTTCTTCATTTTTCTCTTTTAGTAATAGGGGGAGATTCAATGTTGTGTTTAACGCATCTTTTGATGTCAGTCTTTATTTATTATATGAATAACTTTCATTGCTTTTTGACAGATTTAAAGACACCAGAGCCAATGATGTCTGGCTGGTTGATGTGAGTCTAACTTCATGTGCACACACACACACATACCAGTCGAGGTTCATTCAGCTATGCTTTAATTCATATCCGGCACGCCACCGTCCGGATCACCCTTGCGGAAGTGGCGGCGGCGGCGGTGGGGGTTTGGGGGGTCACTGTGGGCCGGCGGGGGCCTGCAGACTGTCCTCTGTGTTTGTGATTAGAGGATGGGAAGTCATGCATGCGGGGCAAAGCCGGGGAACTCTGATGGGTTTGTGTCTGCGTCCAGATGAGATAAGCAAATCCAGCTCGAGCACTCAAAGCTGCTTTCGCCCTCGGTTTAGGGTGCAGGGGGTGGGGGGGTGACGGGGGTTTAGTCTGGTTGTGCAGATGTTAATCTGTTGCATATTCTGTCTTCAGAACTAAGCATTTAGGATGTAATTATTATTATTATTGAGCATGATCTAAACACTGATTTTTCCTCTTCTTTTGTCAGTTCTATGCACCGTGGTGCGGCTACTGCAAGAAGCTGGAGCCCGTGTGGCACGACGTGGGAGTGGAGCTGAAGAGCTCCGGGTCGCCGGTCCGCGTGGGGAAGATGGACGCCACGGCCTACTCCGGTGAGTACGCGGCGGGGCGCTTCGGGTCGGTCCCTCGGCGCTCCGCTGGTCCCCTGGTGGGTGTCTCGTGTGCCGGAGACCAAGATGGATGCGGCTAATTGACGTTGTGTTGTTCAACAACATGCATCTAAAAGGCTTCTGCAGGTCTCATTAAAAGCACCATAAACTATGTTTTATTACCTCATTATTATTATTGTTATTCATACGTTTTGGCCGGGGATTATTATCGTCAGTAAATTCAGGGTAATCCTTCATTACATTATGCAGTTGAGGAGTAATCCAGGCACAATTTTAATTTATTGATTGACGGACTGATTGTTTATGTGGTGACACTAAAGTTTTCTATCAAGGAAGAAAGTATCCCAAAAACATAAAACTATTCCCTTAATCACAAAACAAACACTTTGTCTTAAATGAACATTTGTTTCCGGAGAAGGTTGGTGTTCTTAAATGTACGTATGCTGTATTTGTTCTTCTTGCAGGAATGTCGTCAGAGTTCGGTGTCCGCGGTTACCCCACAATCAAAATGTAAGTGATTTAAAAAAAGCTTTATTCTCCAGTTTTTACTTACTTTGTTTTAAAACTTTGTGTAATCATATATTAAATACCATGCGCACTAACATGTATTTTTGCTGTCACTTCTGAGCCACTCGGTGCAGCTTTGAAAAGGCCTAAAGAAATCCGTAAAAGATTAAAGGACTTATTGAATTTTGTACAGACCTACAGGGTCCTGACGCTCAATACAATATCTCTGCAGTTAACTATATTTCTCAAAGCCTCTCGTAAGTATGTATTAAGCTAAATGTCAGAGAGGCATCGATTCGACTGAGGCTGTAGCACTTTCTTGTGTGAAGGATCCTTTGTCCCTGGAGGTTCGGCCTGTCGAGATGCCGTCCGTAGGACTTAATCAGGAGGGAACACGGTGTTGTTGCAGCATCCTGGAGGCATAACTAAGTTCACACCTTTACAAACTAAAATTATATTAGCCTTTCCGCTGGAGCTAATTATACGCTTCTTGGGAGATAAACTGTTTCAAATCTCCGGCCATTTAAATTTGACTTTTCCTTCATGTTTGACTTTTCTCAGGCAGATCCCAAATCACTTAAGTCAGTCATTTGATTTATTCAATTCTTAATCAACGTTTGCTGCTTCATCCACCTGTGAATCACCTGATTCTCATCTTCATTCCTAGTGAAGTGCAAGAGACATTTTATTTTATTGTCTTCATAAAATGTACGGATGCAGGTAGACGGCAGCTGCTCCGCGGCAGAGATGATCATCCTGCATGCCTTTTTGATAGAGAATAATTTATCTACCCGCTGCCGTAATGGGCTCCCCATTTGGTTTCATCAAGCTCATTTGGGAAAACTGCCACAGGAGCACGCCGGGGTTCATAACATCAAACCAAGCGAGTGATGAAACATCCATCCGAGAACACGAGAATCCTCCCTCGGTGACCGGAGGAGACTACATTTAGACGTTGGCGCTCCTCCCTCGAGTTCATTAAGTCCTGTGGGCTGATGCAACCGTAGCGATCCTTAATGCCTCCTGCTTGTGGGAGGAGCTCCAGCGGTTTTCCCCGGCTGGAACTCAATTAGGGTGTTTTTTTTTTTTTGTGATGAATAAGCTTCTGCGGATAGAAGAATATGTTTGATCAGATCACCTTGAAATAGACAGCTTGTCCTTTCCGTACTCACAGACGGCTGCTGTCTTTAATGGGCCAAAGCAGGACCGCTTCTAATTACGCCTTTCAGTATCCATTAGCCCCTCAGATCTAATTCTTTATCCTAAATTAATGTAATATAACTGCAGAGTAGTCAGTTTATTTATTTAGCACTGATGACCTAAATGGATGGTGGCAACGGAATAATGCTGAAAACCTTTCTAACAGGTTTAGAGAGGCCGAGGTGTCTAATTATCACAGATATTGTCTTTACAGTGGCGTTGATCGTCAGCAGAGCGAAGGCTGAACTTTGCCACCACTCTCTTCTTCCCCTTCTCCTCACTGGAGTTTTTCAGACAAATCCGATGTCCTCAATCCAAAATTCAATGTCACATAATTGTTAGTTTCATTTCATTGTCACACAAATGTCTTTGCAGCAGATTATTAACACAAATTACCGCACACGTTTACGTTTTAATGATCATTCTCCCCCTGTGGCTTTATTTCCCGTCTCCTCCTCAGGTTAAAGGGGGATCTTGCCTATAATTACAAAGGACCAAGGACCAAAGACGACATCGTGGAGTTTGCCAACAGGGTGGCGGGGTGAGCCTTCGACCACCACTTCAAAAAACAACAAAAGTAGAGCTTCATTTCACAGCTGCGAGCGAGCTTATCAGCGCTGGCCATATTTATTTCACAGCTCAATGGGTCCCCCCCGCCCTCTGATGCTCCCGTTTAAGCCACTGTATCAACAGATTTCCTCCTCCTCGAGGGAGATCGAGCTTGATCCGTGACAGAGGGGCAGATCAAAAGCTTGGCTCTCCCTCCGAGGCTGCCGGTCGTCTAGTCTCCACTGGGCGGCGCCACCAGCACGGGGATGGAGAACAGAAACGTTGACCCGAGTTATTGCGCCGCACGGATTCCCCTCGTTAGGACCAACTGACCTGCGCGGGTTTCATTTCCCCCTCCAGACCGGCCGTCAGGGCGCTTCCCAGCAAGCAGATGTTCGAGCACATGATGAAACGACACAACGTGCTGTTTGTGTACGTCGGCGGGGAGTCTCTCCTCAAAGTAAGCGCCGTTCAATTCGCTCGCGCACCAACCCGGACGTATTGAAAACTGCTGTGTGTGTGTGTGCTGACGGAGGCGCTTGCCTTTGCAGGAGAAGTACAACGACGTGGCCTCCGAGCTCATCGTCTACACGTATTTCTTCTCGGCTGCAGAGGAAGTCTTTCCCGAGGTGACTCTTTGAATTCCGGAAACAATCCTGCGGTCATTTGTAGCGAGTCCCGTATTTTCGGCATTAAATGTCATTGATATTCTCGAGTGCCGTGTGACCGGCTGATGTGGAAGTCCGTCCCCGCTATTTTGGTGTAAATCCCGCATTGTTTTAGAAGACACCAGGCACAATTATGCGAAACGGCACAAGATTCCCAGTTTGCTGCGGATTTCCGCGCTCGACACATTCAGCCACATTTCGCAGAGTAAAAGTGTTTTGTGGAGCGTTCTTCTGACCTCAAATATCTTGTGTGTTTTCAACAGTCGGTAACTTTGCCAGAGCTTCCTGCGGTCGTGGTCTTTAAGGACGGCGCCTACTTTACCTATGATGGTGAGTATCTGTGTCTTCACTCGCTGTCGTCCCTGCGCCAAAAGAAAATCACAGCCGGCAGAGTATTTGTGTGTGTGTGTGTGTGTGTCTCTCATTTAAAGCCAAGAACTGAATCCAGGAAGCAGCTGTCGGGTTTCTGCGAAAGTCGTAAGAGGCTTAGAAGAGCAGCTCTGTTGCCCAATGTGAAGCTCCTCACCGCAGCATCTGGAGCTCCCCGCATCCCCCCGTGATGTCTTGCAATTGGCCGTCGCCGCCGCCGGTCCGTGGCGGCAGGCGGAAGCGGAAGGGATGCGCGTCGAGGCACAGGGACAACACGAACGGGCCCCAGTAGTGGCTGTTGGGCAGGTCGGGCGCGCGGTGCAGCGCCCGCAGAACGAAATCCATCTCCGTCGCCGCCCGCGGGCTCACCTCCGTCTGCTCCACCTGGCCATTACGGAAGGGCGGCTTCCCGCGCCAGAACCGCAGCAGCAGGGGCTCGCCGCAGCGGACGTTGACAACGAAAAAGCCACACTCCGGTGAGACCTCCAGGACCTTGATGCGGAGGACGTGGCGGATGTCTAGCGTTGCCATGGGGCGACGGCGCGTCGAGCTCCTCGCGCGGCGGGTTTCTCCTTTCGAGCGGGAAAGACGCCGGTTATTGCGAGGTGAAGATAAATGAAATACAACGAGAGGACCGCTCATGAGGCTCTTACCTACAGCGGCGGCGAAGAAGGTGCCCTCGTCTGCGTCACAGGAATCTTGATCTCATTTTGGCTCCGTGGTCGTCGTCGGCGTCTGGTTTCTCTGCAGCTGTGCTGCGCTTCCCCCGACGTCCCACTGACGGGCCGCCGGCCGGGTGTCCGGCGTGAGGCTCCTCCTGCAGGAAGTCCTCTCGAGCGCTTCTTTTATCGGGTGTAATTTAGCTAAACCTTTTGCATAGTCACTCAGTGACTCGGTTTTATGGCAGACAATGATGTCAATTTAAAGAATTGGGATGAACGTCCGAGCCGTAAACCGTAAACTGCTACTTAAAAGCAACGATTCAATCGGCTCGTTAGATATTCGTTGGATATTCGGAGCACGAGATGTCGTAGAGCGAACGGCGCCGTGCAAAACACGGCCTCTCGCGCGGCGCGAAATGCTACTTGACATTCATTTGAGCTCTGATCGTTTTCGTGCACATCACAAACGCCGGCGTCCTTTCCTGGAGGGCGCTGTTGGAATGTAGAGCGGCGCGGAGGCCTGAGCTCGCACACGTTTAATATTTCATACCGTTACTGCGGCCGTGCGGTTTCTCTTCACGGGCCATATGGTTTCTGATCAGCGCGCGTGCAGGGAAATCTACCGGGCCTCGCGTTGGCGCCGAAAGAAGACAACGGAAAGCTCTAATTAGGATGGATGTTGGTCTGCACAGCGTGCCGTCTCTGCACTGCAGTCTATCCGGGGGACGGGAAGCCGCACAGGGCGCTGCGTCGGTGGCGTGCGTGTGCTTTGGCCCCTCCTTGTATGGAAGTGTGGGTAACGCGGCCAGCTGTGAGGTGCTTTGCATGTGGTTATCGGCAGCATTTAAATGACCGGCGGCTTAACAGCCCACGACTGATGACGAGATGCGAGTCCCTCCTGAAAAGGTGATGAAGGACGTTTGGTCACGGCGCCCAACGGGAGGAGTGACCTACTGTGTTATTTCAGTTGGCAAAGACGCCAAGGTCAGCGTGGAGGAAGCCGTAACCATATTTACCACGCATGGAACGCCGTTACGGCGCCATACAGCAGGTGCGTCCTCTGTTAGTTTCCACCTCGCTCTGAGCCGTGCGGCGACCTTCAGCCGATGGCGAGGAGTCCTAAACCCAGCAGAGGGCGACTCCCCCGGTTCCAAATAGAAGAGAACAGGGCTTAAATTATGCCCTTCGTTTAGGTTAATGTGGTCCAGTTTAGAGTAAAATGGACGTTAAAGCAGATTGAGTGGGGGGGGGGGACAACAATGCAGTCTTCTACGTTCACTTCTTAGTCGCTTGGACTGAAACATCTTATCGAAATGGAAATTTCCATTTTTTAACATTCAAGGTTAAAGAATGAGCTGCAGAAGGTGGCAGACGCGTCCAGTAGAATATTCCATAACTGAGCAACACATCCCCTCATCCCGTTCTGCTATCGGTGGTGTTCCTCCTTCCTCTCAGTAGCATGAAAGCGACGGTTTCCTGTCATTTCACTGAGCTTCCTTTCTTCTATCTTTCTGTCCTCCCCCACTGCGTCTCGCCCTGTGTGAATTACCTTTGATATTTCCTCTCTCCCTCTCCACCCCCTCCACTATGTTTGCTGCCCCCTGGTTTCCGTTTGCGCACTATTTGCATTGCCTCGGAGGTCCTCCATGCCATTAACCTCCATCTCTTGAAGCGTGTCAGAGCCGCCGCCGCCGCCGCCTCCTCTTCGCTCCCCAAAACTGACACCGGATCATCCTCCCTCCACCCGCTGTCTGTTCCCATTCCGCCTCATGCCCCTCATCCTCCTCTCGCTGGTCTCCAGCTGTGTGAACTCGGGGCTGACAGGCTCCTGTAAGCCGGTATGGTGATTGCGAGGTGGGCGCCCGCCAGGAGAGCGCCTCTAATTTGTTTCAAGGTGAAGCAGGTTCAGTCAATGCGGAGGTTCATCGGGCTGTACGGTCCCAGCATGAGGCCCCCGGCTCCCTCGCTCGCTCTCTCATATATCTGTAGAAGAAGAGGAGCCCGGGCAGCCGCATGCTGTCTACAAAGCCAGCACATCTGTGGAAAGAACTCCCTGGAATGTCGTCCAGATCGACTGACTCAGCAGCCTTAACCACAACTCTGTCTTTTGCAGCAGCAGCAGCAGCGAGAAGTGGATTGAAGTGCATTAAGGTCACTTTGAGACTAGTAAAAGCTGCGACCTCGGGGTGGGTTTAGGTTGTCGTGTTCAGTATCGCGCTCCCGGCTCGTTAGGGGAGCGGCTTAAGAACCCGGTTAAAGTCATCAGCGCCGCTGTAATTACTGTACGGGAAGCAGAAGGGTGCTGGTAACTTATGAACATGTCATAACGAGGCGCCCCGCTACATTTGACATCAATTATGAGCATCCAGCCCGAGAACCCCCCCCTCCCCACCACCCTATTTAAACCCCCCAGGGACCAACTCGGCTTCCCGTTTGCATGTTGCCACCAGATGTTCGGGTAGAAACAACATGTGGTTCACATTCAGGAAGCGATCCCTTTATTTCTTTCTTTCTTTTTCCTTCTTACTTGGACTTGTTTTCCCCCGATTGCATCCGTTGAATTATTCATTCGCTCCAAATGTGTAAAAATCTGCCAAAACTGTCCTGAAAATAAATGTACGTACGCCCGGAGGTTCATTTATAAACCGCATGTTTTTTTTTGTTGTTTTTTTTTGAAGGCGGAATAACCGGATAGCTGTGAAAATGAGGTTAGCTGAGAAGAAACCCAGTGTCTGTTTAGAATGAACCAATGGCTATCTGCTAAATAAGAAATGAGGCTTAAAAGGCATGAACGAGATGCCTTTTTGTTCCCGGCTTGACAACCAAATTGATGCATTTGATTGTTGACCTCTGGGTTGATTCTCCATCGGCTGGTTTCGGACCCACAGAAGCCTCCCTGGATACGTGACGCAGAGGCAGCCCGCTGTCGTAACAACTCGTGGTCACTGTCTCGCCAACCTTCCGTCCATGGGCGCTCAGCGCGTGTCCCGCGCTCTGATCTTCTTAGCAATCCAGGCATCGAAACGCCGCTGTTGATTACCGACTGGTTGCGTGCCGGACGTCCATTCCTGTCCCTCCGCCTTCTCACAGGAGATTTGTGTGTCTTTTTTGTGCTGCAGAGTACGCAGATGCCAGTTTGTCTTCATGGGTGAACAAGGAGCGCTTCCAAGGGTACCTGCAGATCGATGGCTTCACGCTCTACGAGCTCGGGGAAACAGGTGACGCATGGGTAACATTTTTTCATCCCCCTGTGGTCACAAATGAATCATTTCCAAGGTCAAGTCCCCAAAAACATCCGATAGGACAAAGAAAACAAGTCACATATGGTTGTTTCTGCTTGTTTTAGCTGCATTTTATTTGATGAGCACTTTGTGGCCGATTTAAAGACTGCTCAGTCATAACAACCATAAAATGGATTTAGCAAAGAAGTAAGTTTGAGTAAACAGTATTAAATGTTCCAGCCGCGTCCCCCTGAAGGCTTTTAAATCAACTGTCACGTCCTCGGGGCTCGTCGTGTGCCGGTGGAGCGACATTTTAACGCCTCTAAAAGCCTCGTCCCAAACAAAGTCTACGTCCCCGTGCGGGCAAAATCAATGAATAGTCCCGAGCTGTAATTGAGTTATTTATGGGGCCGGCAGAGGGCGAGGATGAACGACGCTTAGAAAAACAAAGTCTCTCTGACGGATTACAGCGCGTTTATTCTGTCGTCGGTGACCAGGAAGTGTTCCTCAGGGGCAGAGAGGCTGCCTGATGACCGCCATGCAAAAACAGCACCGTTTATAAAACCGAGTACACAGCAATACTTTAAGATAATGTCCCAACCCCGCCGACGGAGGGATAAAGGACGCGGTTGTAAAAGAAGAAGGTTAGAAAACTACGCGGTGCAGGTTATAAATACACTTCTGTGGGTATGAAGAAACCCAACGCGTGCCAGTTAGATGGATCTCTTTTGAAATTTGATTACTTGACAGCAAAGTGTGTTAGTGCTGATAGTGGTTTTCTTTAAGCTTTTACCAGAAGAATTTGAAACTAAAGCCCGGCATTCTTTTATTATTAACTTTATAGAACAGTTTTCTCGTCATGTCTTATTATGATGAGTAGTTATCAATGGTCAATCTGCTTTTGTTCTACTTTAATATGGTCTCTCACTTAAAAGGTTTTAAATATCAAAATTATTTATATTAATATTTTCCATTTTTCCACTCCAACATTTAACTAGATGGCGCATTGCTTTCACCTCCATGTTGTGCTACATTGCTCTTAATGAACAAATCTGCGAAAAAAACTGTCTTCACCGGAATAAAGGACATTTTATACCACAGGAGCAGCCGGTCATCTGATTGTATAGAATCAACAATTGATCGCATAGTTCTGTAGGAGATCACTAGTGCACATGGACAGACTGTATCGTATCTCATTCTCATACACAGGAACACATCTGGAACACATTTTGAAATAGCTTAACTTCTTTTTTCACGCTCTCTGCGCATGACATGAAAAGCACCATCCATGACCACCAGGGGGCAGGCTGGTACTCTCCCCCCCCTGAGCAACAAGGCCCCCAACTAACACACGTCTGAACGACAGACCCTTCTCAGTTGTGTAACAGTTTGTATTTGTCGCATTGTGGGGTTTTTGAGCCTTGACTGGCATCGGGAAATACCTCCGACACCAAAACAGTGACCTTTTTTTTTTTTTTTCGTGTTCAACCAAGCAGAAAGCCTGAGCCGGCCTAATGTTTGAGGGGTGAATGAATGAAGCGCTCCCCGAAGGTGATTCGTCGCCTCTTATCTGCCCGCCGTTGTCTGCTCACCCTCCTTTTGTGTGTGTGTGTGTGTGATTTGTAATCTGTCTGCCACCGCAGGCAAATTGGTAGCGATTGCAGTCATCGACGAGAAGGACCCCAGCGAGGAGAGTGGCAGGTACAAAGAACACTGAAATTAAAAAGCATGGCTCTTTTACAAATGACTCCCACACACTCCCACAGTCACCACTCTGGTTGTGTTCAAGTGCACGACTTAAATAATTAAGGCAAGGCTTGAAAACCTTGTGTGGATCACTCCACAAATGACAGGCGGCGGTCTGGAACCCCCCCCCCCCCCCCCAAAAAAACCCTGGTAGTCTTTCACTCACTTGGTGTTTCACTCTCTTCTCATTTGCTTTTAGATTAAAGGCCCTGATTCAGACGGTGGCGAAGGAATACAGAGAGCATTTTAACAGGTAAGGCACGAATAGGCGATGAGGTCAAAGATGAATATCCAATTTACACATCTGTTCGAGGACGGCGGCGCTCGCTGGGGAACGCCGCCCGTCCTGTTCACCAGCAGGTTTCTGCCTCCGACGGCACGCGCGCTTTCATTGAGGCTCAGTCGAGAGGTAATTGTGCAAAATGTCAGCCTCCAAATATAGGTGTTCCATTCAGCTGTCAGTCAAAACCTCAGCTCGCTTGGTATAAATGAATAATTTTCTGTTTTCCCCGGCTCCAATTGTGCAATAACAACCGGCTACGAGGCGCCGCGTTCGACCTGCTCCTCCTCCTCCTGTTCTTCTTCAGGAGAGGAGCTAATCAGGCAAGGCATCCAACGCAAACAGGAAACGCATCTCAAACGTACTGTTTGACACTATTGTGTGTGTGTGTGTGTGTGTGTGCGCGCGTGCTTCAGAGAGCCCATCAGCGTGGTCATCCTTCAGCTGAAGGACCCGGGTAACGGCAAACACGCTCCACTCAAGTGGCACGGATGGAAATGGGCTCTAACGCCGGCGGTCTGCAGCCGCCGCTTGTCTGCGATCCAAAGGGATTGAATGAAAGATCACGTTTTTTAATCTTCGCGTTGTGCTTAAGTTCCCCGTTCGAAGAGGTGCGTCTCAAACCGCCGCGATCCAAGTGTTTCTTTCCCCCTCTGCCGGCGTTCCCATTAGGGACGATTGAATGACACCGATCCTTTATCATCCATTGGATTGCTCGTCGCCCCCCAACCAGCCCCGTGCGGTGCTTGTGCTTTTCTGGAGGACTTGAGTTGCAGGAACCCCACTGAGATCAGAGCTGCCTGCAGGGCTCCGGCAGACCTAAACGGTTCTTGTAATCACGCGTCACAGGGTGACACCGGGTGAGTCAGGGTGGAGTGACGCCCCCGGTGGTGGTGGGGGGGGGGGAGGGGGCAGCCGGCAGATCTGAGGTAACGCGCTCTGATGCCGCAGCAAATGCGGCGGTGCTCAGCTGAGGGGGAACTAGTCCGTCGGGGGGGAGGGGGGGCGGGCAGTCAGATTCTGTCCGTTCGTGTGTGTGTGTTTGTGCTGCGTTTAAACTGTTGTGCTGTGGTCTGTAACTTTAATCCCACTGGTTTTTGGCGCAGAGGAGCATCGAGCAGCTAAAGAACTCGGCTTCACAAGGTTTCTTGTTGTGCTGCACCGAGTGGCCAAAATAAACGAAAGAGGACAAGCGAAAGAAAAGCTAAAAGAGAGACGCACTAGAAATGAATCTTATGTGGGGGATGTTTTCTTTCTTTCTCCATAGTGTTTAATACATTTCTTTTATCTTTGGTTGTTCATTAATTCCTTTACACAAAGACTTCTTATGTTATGAAATATATCTGTGGGGAGCACACACACACACACACACACTCGCTCTTTCCGTTGTATATTCATTCTGTGGGAATCTGGCCTTCCGAGAACACTCCTCCCTTCTTGGGAACCTCATTACGTGGCGGATAATGCCGATACATATTTAGTTTATTATAATCGCGTGAGTCAAAGGAGAAGCAACATTTCCACACGGAACGTTTTAGTAAACAGCCAGAACCTGGAAGTCGTACAGACAAAATCTGAAAGTGTTTACGAAGAGAAGCTTATTTTCTCTAACAAAAAAAGGCGTATGTAGATCCTTTTTTTAACAATAAACAATAGTTTTTTTGCAGTGAAAGTTACAGGCTGACTTTTTGTTGAGCTTCGTTCCCAGTTCGTCCCGCTGTCGTCAGCATTACTGCCACTAACACACAGATTCCTTTTCTTTTTTTTTTTAATGTATTTTTATATTGCATCCCCTGGATTTATTATGTGCTTCAATGGCTTCATAATGGTGTCATTGATGTAAGCAAGGAGCCGCATTGTGTGGCAGCCGGGGGACAACCGTGTGACTCAGCATGAATATAATATATATGTAGAGGGCCCCCCCCCCCGTAATCAGTCATTCAGTGGAAGTCACTGGCTCCCTCGCTCCACCCCCCCAATTCCACCCACAATACACTCTGCTCAGACACAGCGCAGCACAATGAGGTACAAATTGAATTCCTTCCCCTGCCTTATCGTTTAGATAAATCACGGGAGCCTTTTCTGTGGTGGGAAAAAGATGAGGAGGAACCGGGAAGCACACAGGGCCGAGCCTCTCGCCCCTTTCGTACCGCAAAGACAAAAATGCCACTTTTCCATGAACGAACACGCGATTCCATTCGATGTTTTCTCACGACTGCAAACGGAAAGTTGGCGTCCCAGTTCTGCGCGTGCCGGCTTCAACCTGCCGAATGTCGTTTTTTGATGCACGTTATCATGCCACTGATTTTTGTCCTGCCTCCCCAGAGACTTCCAGTTCGGCCACATGGACGGGAACGACTACATCAACAGTCTCATTATGGGGTGAGTTCCTTCCTCTCGTCATCCTTCTCTTTTCTCCCACATCCAATTACCTGCCGTCAGCTACTTACCCGGGTTTCCGGACGAACATATAAATGTCGGCCTCGGCTATTAAAAGCGGCTCTTCTGGAGAATTCAATTACACGTGGGGTCGTATTTTTATTTTAGTGCGCTCGGAAATCGTAACGCGCAAACAAAAGAAGCGCACAGAATCTCTGCACAGTTGGGTTTGCAGGCATGTATGTTACAGAAGGCACTGCATGGATTGCATCAGTAAGGCTTGTGTGTGTGTGTTTTTTAATGTTCCTGTCAGAGGGCGGCGCTAACGATCCAGAGCGCTGTAGCAGAGCGCCCGGGTCAACCGACAACACGCACACTTCTAATTAGACACAACTGCGCTGGTGTTGCAGGGCTGTCTTTTTGTTTACATCTTCACAACGCACGGTGTCTAATTATGTCCGTCTTTGTGTAATGCCGCGCGTGTTCCGGGTGAGGATCGCGGTGGTCCGCTGCGGGACGTTGTTTTAATTTGAGCACGTCGTTGTTTGCGCGAGGCAGATTACAGCAGACGCGGCCTCCTGAGCCTCGCGTAATTAAGGGGCGCGTCGGCGAGTACAGTGGAAATGTGACGACGTTGGAACAACAGGCTGAAATTAGACGGGCAGTGTTTATATTTGAGGATGAAAGCGGTGATTAGCCTTCCTAATTTCACGCGAGTAGACACAAAATGCATTTGCCGGGTCTTCGCCGTGCCGAATTTGCCCGCTGCGTCACAGGATTAATTGCCCTCCGTTGAGGAATGAAATCCTGGCCCGTCACTGCCCGCTAATTCTCTCCCCCAAGGAAGCCCATGGAAATAAATCTGATGGCTTTTTATCCCGCTTTCTGTCATCGCAGCGATTACTGCGTCCGGGCAGCCGTCTGTCTGCCGCGAGGCTGCGTTCACCAGATGAGCACCGACACACACACACACACGCACGCACACGCATGAGCACCACTCGAGGATCTCTCGTCTTTTGTTTGAACGGGGGATTATAGCTAACCCCCGATAGCGGAATGCGTGGTGAACCGAGGTGACCAGGAAGTCTGTGTAAAGGCGAGATTTGTAAACACAAGGGAACGACTCCGAAGATTATTCCCACAGCAACCGGCCATTTGATTTGTGTGCTAAAGATCACCGCTAGTACATTTAGCCTGGAAGTGGTGCAGGAGAGGAGTTGATGAACTGCTGATGACCTACAAAGAAACCCAGTGTAAATAGTATTTTGAGTGCCCAGTTTTCACCTTTTTACTCATTCATTTATCTTTTTAAAGGCCGGTTCCACCAATAAGGTATTTGCTTTTAGATGGATAAGGACATCCGTGGCACACGAATGGAACCAAAGCCACACAGTTCTCTCACAGCGGCGTGACACAGTGCCCTGCACACCGTTATTCTCCCATTTATCCTCCACTGAAACCACGACGGTCCGACAGGAAGTTGTTCAGTGTCAAATCAGGGGTCCAGGCCTCAGGACGTTTACACGGGATTGTGGACTCCGGCCCTGCCTCAATACTTTAGCTCGGCGCATTTACAACCAGTGAAAGGTCGTCCTAAGACTCTCTCATCCTTGCACTCGGCAACAAACAGACCGTACGCTGAATCAGGCTAAAAGGAAGCCAAAGAGCGCGTTTCCCCAAAAGGTTGAACTATTCTTTTAAACAAAACAAAAACATTGCAGGTTCGTACATGAAGCACACGTGTGAGTTTTGTGGCGTCGATTGTTCTCATCTGATGAGGCGAGAAATCAAATTATCTTTAATAATCCAGACAGACCTGGATGAACTTCCCCTGTAATACGAAGTAATAAGCTAATTATACGCCACGCCAGCCGTTTTTGTCAGCGGAGGGGGGGGGGGGGGGGGGTCTTAAATGTGTTTTCTGCCAGCTTTAATTCTATAGAGTACAGTATGACCCTCCATTACAAACCGCTCACAGAGGTGAAGAGGCTAATCCATATTTACCTTAAATAGGTGCCATCTGTTGGAGTAGACTAGATGTCAGATGAACTACACACTGTGTGTGTGTGTGTGTGTACACACCTCTCAGCTGGACGAAGCAGTTAGGCGTTGATGACTCTAGCTCAGGTGTGTGTGTGTGTGTGTGTGTGTGTGTGTGTGTGTGTGTGTGCGTGTGCGTGCGTGCGCGCGCACTCACTCCTGGTCTCGGCTGGATGGCGGGTTGGGACAGTGATGGATACGAGTGTGATTTGTTGCCGGGCTGAGAAACGCTGCGGGGATGTGAGTCTGCCGCGCTGTGATGGACTGCTGCTGCGCCTGTGTGTGCGTGTGCATATATGCAGGCATGCATGCGCGTGTGTGTGTGTGTTTGTGTGTAAGGACACCTTTTCTCTGTGCTGCTCTGCAGGACGTGTGAGAGAGGGATCGCTTGTTTATACGACCTTGTGCGTTATCTCGCTGAGTTTTGTCATTCCTCCACTGATTTGGCAAATTAAGCAGGATGGCGAGGGCGCCTACTTCTTCTTTGTATACGCTCGGCGTGCGTCTCGGCAGCGGGTGCACGTTTTGCTCGTTCCTGCTGTAAATCTCCGTGTTACAATCTGTCTTAAAGAAAGCACAATTTGTTCCCGTCTAATGACGCGGCATGGTAACGGCGGCCCGAGGTTAAGGAGATTAAAGGCTGTGCTTCCTGTCTTCTTCTCCCAGCGAGGTGACGGTGCCCTCCGTCATCATCCTCAACACGTCCAACGAGCAGTACTTCCTGCCCGGCCAGCTGATCGAGACCACGGAGCAGCTGGTCCAATTCATCAACGGCGTTTTGAACGGTTCTGCGCAGGTCCAAAGCGCCTCCTCTTTTCATGCATCGTAGACATTAATCAACCACGTTGTATTGCATTGTAATTCCTCCCAGGGAAATATATTCAGCAGATGAGGTGTGTTTGCAAATCTCCTTTTGCATGTTTAGATTTTATATTGTTCTCCTCCCTGATTGGATTAAGTCAACCACTGAGATTACAGGATTCTGTATTTCAGCGTGCACACTAATCTGGAAAACAAATGTCCTCGCTTTCCTCTGTTCTGCACCAAAGGGGCCGGATTTATGAAACCATAAGACCCAACAGCCAGAGGTCCTGTCCTTTTGTTTTCTGAGAAAGGTCTTTTTTCACTTCCCACCCAAAAAGAAAGCAGCTGCAGCAAAAGCTGTGTAGTTATTTCTTGTTTCTTCAGAACTGCGAGCAGAGAGCCGTGTCTGTTAACATTTCAAAGTGTCACAAGGCATCAGCGCAAGTCTGTGCAACAGCTGCTTCCACCCAAAACCCTCCCCTGCCCACCGAAGTCTGGCCCAGTCAGCGCTCACTAATTGGCCTCGCTGATGAGTTACGGTCCAGGCAGATCGCCCATTGGCTGCCCAGGTGCTGTCGCTGACAAACGAGCCCGGCCGGAGCAGAGCTGACAAACGGCGAACAAACTGGAGTCGGGAACATGTTCTGATTTTGTCCGGAGAAGTGTTTAACTTGACAGTGGTTTTTAAATGTCATAACTGGGGGGAATGGGGGGGGGCACCTGAGCTCCTGAGCGAGGATACGGTAGTTTTGAGAAAGTGAAGCATTGATCTGTGTCCCTGCAGGCGCACGGAGGGGACGGCTTCGTTCAGAGGATCAAGCGTGTGGCCTTTGATGCAAAGTCCACCATCATGGTAAGTCGGGGACACTTTATTCCCAGGGCTGCTGTATGTAGACGGTTGGGATGGAAATCGCAAGAAAAGGGGGGAAAAACATGTAATTTGGTAGAATATCACCATTGTGACTTTGACAAAGAAATGCCCCAAAAGGGAAGTGAAAGTAAAATGGACCCAAAAAAAAATCACTCTCGGACTCGTTCGGTGATTATTATTATCATTGCATCATAACACACGCTCCATTTGTCCGGTCCTCATATACAAATGTTCAACCCAACCCAATATTTCAATTATTTGTCCTCATTTTGGTTACCATGGTGACCCGCTGCCCGACTCGTACAGCTCTCCTCCCACGCCGCTCTTTGTTAAGACGCCGCTGGAGACCTCGGGCTCGTTGGTGTGCTTCGCACCTCGCCTCGCCTCTGCTCTCCAGCCCACGGGGAGTTTTGTAAGGGCCCCCCGGGCAAGTTTAGCAACGGTTTAAAAAAAATGCCCGGGGGCCCCCCCCCCCCCCCCCCCCCAAGACAAGACTGAGAATATGCAATGCAAGCACAGTACGGGGAAGGAGAGACGAGACGGAAGGGAAAGTGGGAGGAGACTCGAGTTCAGCGGCCCGACCCGAAGTGGTCAGATCTTTTAGGGCGAGCTGCTGTTTATTTTCCCGGATAGGAATGTGAATACAGCTGTTCTGTGATCCTCCAGTTGAAGCGCGGCGCTGCCTCTTGTAACAACGTCCTTTAAAGGGATGCACGAGAACTCTTACAGAAGAAATGTAAATTTGACTCGAAGGAAAGTAAAGTGACCTCTGGAGGCTGAATAAAGCAGCCCCCCCCCCCCCCACCCGGAGAGCCCGAACCTCAATGCACGGTGGACAGGAGCCGCATCGGGCCCAATGACTTGCCTGCCGTGTTAGGTGCTGACATCAAATCGTAATAGAAGAGGAGAGCAAATATGTGCAGACAGACTTGTTCATGGAGGTGGACCTTTTGTTGTACAATGTTGCCTCTCCGATATGGTCGCCCATGTAAAACAAAAGAAAAAAAGACGGCACAAACAAACAGTGTAACGTTGCAGAAGTCCTGAAATTAAACGACAGACATTCCATTAATTGTGAAATATTAAAGCCTGCCAATGATTTGTGACCTGCCTTCCAAACACACAAACGAAGCTTAATGGCGTTATGCAAATGAACGAATACATGAATGAATCAAAATCCAGTATATCCGCTAAAACATTTCACACCGATGCTCCTGGATCAGCCAATAGGAATGTGCGTTCCCCCCCCCCCCCCCCCCCTGTACATACTGGATGTAACACACTGGCGGTGCATCCGGGGGGGCGACTACGACTGCGACCATGTTTGTGAGCATGTTGACTTTACCTTTGGCCGCCACGTCATTAACCCACGCAGGCCGGCTGCGTTTGTCTACACGGGAAGTGAGGCCTGGGTGAGTAAAGAGTAACGGGGATTGTGTTAAAACTGCAACATCTGCACGTCTGCGTTGTTGTTGTTGTTGTTTTCACTGAGCCGAGGGCAGAGGAGACAAGGAGACGTCCGGGATCTGCCTCCTGCCCCTAATCCCTCCTCATTCCCTCGATTTACCACCCGGCAGTTTAGCAAGCGATCACAGACTAATGTGACGCGCTGGTGATCCAGAATGAACAAGACAGGAGCGATGATGAGTGATGTTAATGTGAAGGCCTTGCTGTGCAGTAACAGTGAAATGGCTTAAGTCTCTTCTGCAGAATTCTTGATTGTGAAAGAAAAACATTCTTTTCATTCTTTTGTCTTCCTTTCATGTCTCGTTCGCCCCCACCAGTCGGTGTTTCGCAGCTCCCCGCTGCTGGGCTGCTTCCTTTTCGGCCTGCCGCTGGGCGTGATCAGCCTGATGTGCTACGGCATCTGCACGGCCGAGACTGACGACGGCTCGGACGAAGCGGGGAAGAGGGAGGGGCTGACTGACGAGGAGGAAGACGAGGAGGACGAGGAGGAGGAGAGGCATCGGGCCAATGAGCTGGAGGGCCCGGAGGAGGACGAGGACGACGAGGAGGAGGAGGAGGAAGAGGAAGACGACGTCGACGTCGGAGAGAAGGATCCCGAAGAGAAGAAAACCGATTAACGCAGGTGCTCGGCCCGAAACGGAGGGTGAGCGGCCAGGTCGAAGGCGGTGGCATGAAACTCAAAGACGCGTCAGTGTGCCGCTACTCGGCTTCTTTGTCTTTCATATCACTCCCACTGCGAGCCCCTCTAGCGCAGACGCCCCCCCCCCCCTCTGTGTTAAAGGTCGGCCGCCCAAGTGGAGCCGTCGAATCGGTCACTCAGTTCACTCTTGGTGATCACGTAATGCGTGACGAGGGGGAGAGAGGTGGCTGTGAACCAGACAAACCTTATTTATTAAGATTTGACCCCACCAGTGTGACGCTTTCTCTCGTTGTTTAGTAGCCACTAAAACGCGCCCGTCATTTTTTTCTTTCTACCTGCAGTTCATTCTGATATGTTAAGATAGTAGATGCAACACATTTGTGTCATCTTTACCCGACAAAGTCAAGGCTCATTGTAATCGACGTGTTTGGAAAGCAAAGGAAGTGCCAGAGAAGGAAAATCTGCCATAAATGAGTTGTGCTTTTTTTTTATTGTACGTTACTGCCTTCTTCTTCTTCTAGTGGTGCAGAGACAGCTGTGCATTTCTACTCATTTCCCACCTGTTGCTGTCCATTTACGGGTGAATGAAAAAAGATGGAATGGTGATGGGATTCAGTCGGTGTGATCTAGGGATATGGCATATTCTCATCAACATGGCTTAGCGGCTCAGAATCCTTAGTACTGACGGCTTGTACCTGTGTAGCAGACATCCATACAATGCCTCAGCGGCCCCTGCAGCTTTTAACAAGTCATATTCTTCTGATAGACCGGCCTGTCTCCTTCCATATTTCAATCTGTCCTCCATCACCGGTTGACGCATTGAATTCAGGAGGCAGGTTGAAGTTTAAATCCTGATACACTGAGAACACAAAATATAATATATATATATATATATATATATATACAATATGTCTTCTTCTTGCTACTTAGTTTCACCCCCCTTTTTTTTCCTGCTGCCATAAGTCACGATTGTTGGTTTCCTCAATGCTATATCCTATTTCCATACTGTCATGAACAGAGTGTGTGCAGTAGCTGCAATCGGGTTTGTGGCTTCATCTTGGATTTAAGTGGGCGATCTGTTACATTAAATAAACAAGTGTTCCTAAAATCTGCTCCACCCAGTGTAATACACTTTTTATGAGAAATGCAAATGTGGAGCTTTTCTGGCAGTGACTTACTATTTAACTGTTAATGACTGTAGGAGAAAATATAAGAGAACCTGTTGGCACTCAAACTCATAAGGTGCAATATACAATATGAAGTGTCAATGGCAGCAAAAGCAAATGGTTCCAGAACTGTTTCCCAATACAGATATATGTCCACTCCCAGTAGGAAGAGTACAAACAAACACTAATACCGACTTCTGTGATTCAAAATAAAGGGTTGTAGCTGATACATAATACAGTTGACCATTTTAAAAATACTCTTATCAATGACGAAGCTGAAACTAATCTCATATCTCGCGGGTAAACGTGCCATCAGCGCGTTAGCTTAGCACAAATGACGCAATCAGCTCACCTGGTTTCCGGCAAAAGACGACAACCACCTGGCAGCACTTCTGACGCCGCTTTGGTTTTGCTGTGCACAAACTTTGCATGCAGCGGTTTCTCCTTTTGAAGTAGCCACGCAAGCCCCTTGCTTTCAGTCTTTATGCTAAGCTAACCTGCTGCTTACGTACCGTGCCATGGTACTGGGAAGCTAACAAACGTACTTCCTTAAAATGGCCAACTATTCCCTTCCGAGTGGCGCACTGGATTATTATTCGCGCTGCATTTGTTTTCCATTAATCATCCGAAAACACTCCTGCACACAATCTGACGTACAGGACTGGCGAGTAATTAAAAGTTTGAAATGAGCAACGACGGCTTCGGTAACAAGCTTTTCTCTCCAGGGACACTTCAACACGTGGTGATGAATGAGCACGAAGCTCGTCCTCGACCTTGTGAGCAGGAAGAAGTCGTCTTAATTCCGCGTCCTCGACTCGCTTTCAGTCGCGGCCCCGTTAATCACAAGTGAACTCACGCGCGCTTAATTCAGTAATGAATGTTTTCGAGCTAGTTATGCTATTATTGTGCAAAGTTGAGCCACCCCTCTCGCACCCAATTCATAAAACAAAGTGAATAATAAGATGGATTCATTTTGGTTATTCTTGGTTTCATCCTGCTTTTGTAGCTCAGCAAATCTGCACATCTGCTGTTTTTAACAGTTTGTATTATTACTGTGAAACTGCACTGAAGGAAACATGCCCTCGCCTTGCCTTCTGGTCCCTGTAGTTGCCTACCATTCTCTCTGAATTGAGATTGTCACACTTTGTTACCGGTTTGAAAGATTGAAATAAAGATTGTCCTCTTTTCTTTTTTGTTTTTATTGTCGACTGGTATTTTATTTTTATTATTTTTTCATCCGACGTACATATCTTCTGCTTGTCCTCCAATGAGAAACCCTTTTTCTCAATCACAGCGCATGTAAACGTGATTTTAAAAAAAGAAAATCCTTTTTAATCTCTCGACAATCTCATTTGAGGTGGAGGTGCCAACTCAATTATAGCAGAGGTAATCCAATTTTTGGAGATCTGGGTTGAACTGCGGCTGATTGCGTTGCTTGATGGGGAAACTCATTTATTTCTTCTCTTTGGGGAACAGCGGCGCTTAAAAGTCCGACTCGGAGACGTGGCGCTCCGTAATGGAAAAGCACAATGTCGCGCCGCGCTTTCTGAAGGCCCTTTTAAGCGGGAGAAAGAATGCTTCGCTTTCGGGGGGATTTGATGCGTTGCTTTTTCAGGTCTGACAAAAGAGGCATGTTCACTTTCCATTGGAAGTCATTTTGGGGATGAATTACCGCAAAGGGGGAGATGATGTATCACGAGGTTACATCACAATCCGTGTCACCGAGTGGTGCTGACGCAAAAAGTCAATTCAATGCTCAATTACCTCGCCGTATATTCCCAGAATGAGGCTCGCGCAGGAGGCCTCCTGTCTCTCTCTCTCTCTCTCTCTCTCTCGCTCTTTTGGGAGAACCAACAATCTCGCGCACTAGACAAACGCAATTACACTCGGCTGCTCATCCTGACGTCTCGCGCTGAAATGGCTTATTACGGCGAGGTGGCGATCATGACTCCGGGGAGGTGTTTAATGGCGTCGGGGCCACGCGGGGTCAAGGCAGAAGAGATGGATGCTTCCTTCAGCCAACGAATGGGGGCTGATTGGCTCTGCTCACCATGGAAACCCGACCTACACAAACTATGTTTTCGTCCCCGCCCCCCCCCCCCCCTCAGAGCATTTTTTGTGCTTGTGCGAAGTCACAAAAGGGTTCAAGTGGGTTCAGTAGCCGACGGTTCAACCGGTGTCGACGGGTTCAGCCGGCTTCAGTAGCCGCTTGTCAGCCCGTCAGTCGATGGGTGGTGTTTGTCGCCGTCGGTTTTCGACCTGACATTTCGGGAAATCCTTCGTTTCGGCGGTGAAACGTCCGCGCGAAGAATCATCCAAGGAACACGCGCAGGAGGATGTGATCTGTCATCTGAAGGGAAGATAAGCGGCAGGCCGTTAGGAGGCAAACACGCCGTCTGTTTCTGAAAGACGATAATTGAGCACTTCAGGAAGAAAAGCAGAGTCAGAGGTGCTACTTTTTCTATCACAATTGTAATCCTAATTTATCTTTGTTATTATGCGAACCCGAGCGGTCTGTTAGTGAAAACAAACGTCTCAAATCTGCAAACAACATCTAAAGCATAATGAGAGGACGACTTGTCCTTTAGCAGCATGTGCTGCCGACAGTCAGTCACACCTTTTCTCCAATCGGATCCCCCGAAATACACACGTCAACACGTCTGTGTGTGTGTGTCACACACAGCCGGTTTATCTCAGCCTTAGTCACTTCCCCCAGATGTTTCGGCGAGGTTACGTGACTGGCCGGCTGGGTGCAGAGCTCACGCCCCCCCAAACTCCCCCCACAGTGGCTTTTAGTTGACTGGTAACAGCAGCCCTCGTGTACACCGATACACACTTTGAATGTACACAAACAGCGAGGCGCCCTCCGCTGCCCACGCGAAGCGTCCTGTAGAGACGGTGGGATTTATTTAAGTTAGGAGCTTTTGCGGCTTAATGTTAATTTTGAGCGGCTTGGGGGTCACGAGGTCACGGCTCTCTGTTGGTGTTCATACTGAATATTATACACTGCAAGTGCAAAAACGATGCCGCCATCACAGTACAGATTCAACATTGGGTTGTTGTGGAGGGTGATGGACTTTAAGTATTAATGAGCTTCTCTAATTAATGTACATGTACCTAAAAGGGGATGCTTTATGTTTAATTAGCATTTGGACCCACTCTGGTGTATTAAATAATTCACTGGCCGTTTGGTGCCTGATCTCCTACTTTTATCTTTGACATTAACTGCTGTGTTTCAGCCTCAGTCCTCTTTGTACATGATTTGTTCTGGTACAAGAAACAAAAAATAGAAAAGAACAAAGCACAATAAAAATGTGGAACGCAGATCTGTTTATATTCGTAACAAGGAATTCTTGTACATATCATAACGTGTACACAGATGGTTTGGCATTGAAGAGAAGCAACAGTTGGCTCAGTCCAAAGGTTTTTACGGGGGCTTTTGTGCCAAACTACATCTTCTAACAAACCACAACTTGTAGTCGTCGCTCTTGAGTTTAAGTGAAAACCTAAAAAAACAACTCGACAACGATCGATGGCGAGGTTCTTTGTTTCCCGCCGTCGACAAGAAGCTATAAGCTAGGCTAACGGCCTCCCAGCTGTGGTCTCATACTCCAGAGACAGATGTGAGATGTGACGTGTCACTAATCTTCTAAGCTCTTAAGTTAAGCTTTGAATTCTATTAAGTGAAGCCGAATGACAATACGAAGTAATTAAAGTTTGCGTTGTGGATTTCAGCGTGTGTTGTGTGCATGAGTGGAACGGATGCAGGCGTAAGTGGCGAATAAAGATCAACGATATGCACGTTGCCAACGCTGTGCCCCGACCGTCCCGTCGAGCTGTAAAAACTGCACTGCATTTGTTCCGGAGACAGAACTAAAAATACAGGTTCACGCTGTTGTTGGTCGCTCGTGCTGCGCGTCGCTTTGGCGCCCGCAGAGGGTCGTAACGGCTCGCGCGGCCGCGTCGGTGCTCGGGCCCGTGGTTAACTCTGCAATGTAATAGGAAGTGTTTTCTTTTCAGCTCCCGCTGATAGCTTTTTAATTGCTTTCAGTGACACCGTCACCTCGCCGCCTCAACAGCCCGGAGGCCGCGTGGCGTCGTGATGTAATCAGGAAATAATCATAATTAGGAAAAACATAACTGTGAGCAGTTATTTGGGTTAAAACGCCCTAAAGGTGCAAAATAATATCTGAAAAAAGGCCTTTTTTATTGGTAGATGGCGAAGGAATGCGTCTAAATATAAGCAATAATGAAGGCTGGAGGCCGGTTACTGTTTGTAGGGGCCGAGTGTGACAGACTCCTCTGGGCGTTAATATATAAGACAGAAATCCTCTGGGTGCTGGTTTTATTTCCTGGTTATTGCACTGAATTATTACCATTGCATCGGGCTGCACTGAAAAGTCCAAACAACCTGGGTAAGTGCAAACATGTCGATGTTGGAATCCAAACAATAAAACAGTCACTGAGTCGGCTAAATCAAACTTGGCTGTTTTCACTAAAACGAAAAGGCAAAAGTTCAGCCAAAGGTCAACAGAGACTCCGGCCCACAACAAGCTGACAAACAGACTGTATTTAGTTGTAAGGAAAGTCAATATTGGACTGGTCAATGCTGCTTTGGTAGCTTTTGACCCCCCCATAGAGCTAGAAGGCCTGAACAAAGCAAAATACACTATTTTTCCAGCCATAGGTACTTTTTTTATAGACAAACGTTAAACAAATACTGTATAATCCATTTTTGGTCATTCCAATAAATTCCTGCTCTATGCATCGTGTCATTTTAGGATGAGGTATTAATATAAGTTAATGTCCGTTTGATTGTAGCCGGCTGTTGAATCTTCATCATGTAACTGTGAGTTGGCGTCGGTGTTGAAATGTGAATCTCTGACGATAATCACAGCCGCAACCCCCCTCCCCCCCCCCCACCCCCCACCACACACACACACTGCTCCGAAATAAAGTGAAAACTAGATGAAAACAACCCCACGATGTCGTTGTCAAGCGGCGTTGCTCTTCAGGCGGGGTGACGCGTGCTCTCTGCGGGGGCTCTCTGCCGGCAGCCTGGATGAGAGCTGCAGAAGTTGTCAAGCGTCCCGGATAAATCTTCTCAGAGCGCCCGGGAGGCCCCCCCCCGGCCCCCGAGGTGCGTCAAGGACAGCCAGAGGCAGATTTCAGAACTGGCCCTCAGCCTTGCTTTTCCCAAAAGCGGGTTGTCTTCTGCGGCTTCCCATCTACGTGCCCCCCCCCCCCCCCCCCCCCCTCTCCTCTCTGTGTATGATGTAGCTGCTGCAAGTAGGGCAGACATTGTCTGTCATGCGCTTCCGCCTATCTGGACTTGGTTTAAACAGAGCGGAAAGCGAGAGAGGAAGCGGAGCAACTCTGGCCAACGACGACAGACGGAGAAAGGGTGGTCCGGACGGGGGGGGTCCGGACGGGGGGGGTCCGGAGGGTTCGGGAGGGGGGCAGCGTACCTGGAGTTAATGAAAAAGGCGTAATGCCCATACGAAACATGAAGGGCCCTGCAGGATCACAGGCTGCCACAGCCACTTAGGGGCTGCATTCGTCAGGGGGGGTGGGGGGGGCGGAGAGTCCTCTGCTGGGCCGGTTCGTATCACTCAGGCTCGCCCTGACAGCAGCGCGAGGCGGGAAGAGGAACAGACGCCTTTCAGAGCAATAATTAAACAGGTGCACTTGTGATGTCAGCAGTCACCAAAGACAGACGGGGCCGTCGTCGACTGTTGTGTTCTTCACGAAATCGCAAGACTACCCGGGAATTATTTCACAGGCCGACCTTCACTTTGAGCAACGATGTTCTTATGCAAAAAGGAAACCTCTGTGTCATGTGGAGCAGCGCACAATACAGTCAAGATGTACGCTGATGCTCCACTGCTTGATCCACTTATCTCTCTTTGCAGATTGCACATTGTTCTGCCACGATAGTCTCACCCCTCGTGTGGCGTTTTAGTTTTTTTGTTCTGTATTACGTGTTGTTTTGGGTACTTCCCGTTCATCAGCGGACACAACGTGATTCACCATGACGACGGTGGTGGACTTTGTAGTACGTCTTTTTGAAGCACTTTGGTCTTTGATTTTCACAGACCAGTGAACAAAAGCTTTTAAAAATGAAAAGCCGCCGTTGTTGTGCCGCATTGTTCCGCCATCGGCAGCTGAAGGGAATCATTTCATCAGCTTTGATGCA